GAGGAAGGGGAGGGATGGGAAAAATGAGGACCTAATGTCGGGGCTTTAAGTGGAGAGAAAATGTTTTGAGAATGATGTACAAATGCGCTTTACACAATCGATGTGTGTATGGATTGCGGTAACAGTTGTATGAGCCCCTAAGAAAATGTTTTTTTAAAAAAAAAAGAAATGGCCATCCAGCACTTACGAATTTCATATTTTCTAGGAATTTAGAATGTACTGTTGAAGAAGTAGTAGCCACTATCTTTTAAAGGGCTTGCAGTCCAGTGGGGAGATAGGCATATTTGTGCAACTTACTATCATGGACAAACCCGGGAGGTGATGGGGTTAGAGAAGTGTGAACTTACTGAAAAGGAGTTCAGGGAGGCTTCTAGTAGCTGATAATCCTTTCTTTCTTTTTTATAATCATTTTATTGGGGACTTATACAGCTCTTATCTGAGCTGATAATCCTTAACCTGGCTTCTGGCAATTAGGAAGCATTACCTCGTTGAAAAAAATGGTTAAGTGGGAGAAAGATGAGTCAGGGAAGAAGGGACACATGTTATGAAGAGGGAATCAACTTCACAGAATTAAAGAAGATAAAACACTGTGGTTTGTGAGAATTTTGTAAACGATTCTAGCATCTAGTTCAGCGGTTCTCAACCTGTGGGTCGCGACCCCTTTGGGGGTCGAATGACCCTTTCACAGAGTTGCCCAATTCATAACTTACAGTTATAAAGTAGCAACAAAAATAATTTTACGGTTGGGGGGTCACCACACATGAGGAACTGTATGAAAGGGTCGCAGCATGAGGAAGGTGGAGAACCACTGGTCTAGGGTGAAGGAATGAAGCAACGGAAGTTACCAGGGGAAGAAAGGCCTGTGTACCCAGTTAAATCTTTGAACTCGTTACTGAAAGCTGTGGAGATTTCTATCCACCGACTACTATTTATTGTTTGCGTTACTTTAGTGTCCTTATTATTGACGTAGGCACAACAGCTGGTGTGTTCCTTAACTGGACTGTTGCTTAGCAATTGCCGCATGGTGGAGCCCCTTTCCCACCACCCGGCTTAGCTAATCCCCTGACTCACATGGCTGTTCTTGCACCACACTGCACATTCAGCACGGCTCTGGGATTCATTCTGATTTCTAAGGATAGGACCAGTGCACT